TGTGTGTTACCTCATAACTTTTTATGTGTGTTACCTCATAACTTTTTTATGTGTGTTACCTCATAACTTTTTATGTGTGTTACCTCATAACTTTTTATGTGTATTACCTCATAACTTTTTTATGTGTGTTACCTCATAACTTTTTTATGTGTGTTACCTCATAACTTTTTTATGTGTGTTACCTCATAACTTTTTTATGTGTGTTACCTCATAACTTCTTATGTGTGTTACCTCATAACTTTTTATGTGTGTTACCTCATAACTTTTTATGTTGTGTTACCTCATAACTTTTTATGTGTGTTACCTCATAACTTTTTATGTGTATTACCTCATAACTTTTTTTCCAAGCGAACCATGATTCTCTTACCTCATAATTATAAGAAACCGTATCGTGTACAGTAAGTGTATGTAGTAAGGGCATTATATAAACCTCATGGCTTCCGTTATATGGTGATACAACGGACATAAAATATCCAGATTGGGGACAGGGAGCAGCATCAAATTTACAAGATATATGGTGCTGACCATCATCTCTCATCTCATTTTCTTACATCATCCAACTATGGAATGCCTCTGTTCCTCATAAGGATCTCCGGATCTCTACACTCCATACCACGCCTCACAGGTACTCTGTCAGAGCGTGGTCCTTCCCCGGTCGAGCCGACCCATTCGTGCTACAACTATACAATGTATACATAAAAGTACCGGTAAGGTGGCGTTGTTAAATATTCGCGTAAGATAGCGCTACAATCTGTACCCTATAAGCTCAGAAGACTTGAATTCGACCGCTTCGTTGGTTTAGCGATCATAAATGCGGTTGCATGATCATGAGATCCCGTATTCGAATCCAAAATAAATTATAAGGTTTTTCTGTCAAGGAATCCTTAGAAGCTATCGTAAGTCAGGAAGTTGGCGGTGTTTATCACCCGTGTCTCGCAAAACACGTAAAGCCGTTGGTCCTGCGCCTGATCTCTCTTCAGTTATGTCGATTTACCGTCCCATCGGATCGAGAGTGAGGGAATAGAGAGTGCACCTGTGCTTATGCATACACTTGGGTACTATAATCCTGTCCTGCGCCGATGGCTAGTCTTCGTTGAGACTGGCCGCCGTGACCGAATTTAGGTCTCTAGGACATTATAGGCTAACTGATAGAGTGAGTGTTAATTCAACCTTTGTACTCTAAAATAAATAAAAAATAAATTTACCCTGGTAGTTTGCCAGAGCAACTCTTAACTGATGCGGCCATCTTAGCTGCCAACTCGGAGTGTAGTTCTTGACTTAATTCCATTGTTATCTCGTCGTCTCTGTAACGAGATGTAGAGACGGATGTGCCACAAAGTACAAGGCTATCGAGCCCTAATTTACCCCCTTTTGTATCGTGATTCATGACTATCGACTAAATTTGGCACAGATTTGTGTTGTTAATTGTTGGCAAGTTATTATCTTGCACTTTCTTTTTTTTTAATGTTTCATGATAATAATAAATAATAAAACTAGTTTTTACGGATTTCATCGCGTATATTAACTTATTTTATATTCGCGACTTATTTTATAATAATATTAATATTATAGAATTATTAATTTTAATCTAGAGGTAATCGCATTGGGACGTCCAACGCCTCCGTCCCTCACGTAACCGTGGGTGCTGTAAAGTGCTTGAAAAGTCGGGAATATAAAATAGAATCAGAACGAATGGTTTGCTTCGACTTTTTAATGCGTACATCAAAGGAATGGAACATTTTGCTGGTGTCTATCTTTCCGTCTGAATACAATCTGGACGTCTTCAAACAAGAGTGAACAGGCATTTGTCACGCTAAAACAGTGCGATTTACCATCTAAAGCCGCCTCTACACGATCAGCCATGATCGACACTCGTTGATCGTCTGTAATCGGCATGGTAATCGCCACCATTATCGTGCAAGCATAAACACAATCGTCGGTGATCATTTATTAAGCGGCAAGCATTCAAGATGGACGTGGAGGTTATAGCTGCAGCTGCCATTAATTTAATTTTCGTATACAATCATTATATCAATGTTGTTGAACGAAAAGTTGCGAAAAAAAATGGAAAAAAAAGAAGATGGTGGTGTTTGAGCATTCATCGTAATAGAACAAAGTAAATATACCTATACAACTTAATAGGTGATCCTACTGCCCAGTTCTCACTATAAATATCTATTTCAGACATTCAATGGATAATCAGCTCTCTGAGCTATTGGCAGAACCTTCAGGGGAATTTGAAAAAGTTCTATGAACTTGAATGTCTCTTCATTTGACCACCCAGTAGTCATTGTTTTGCATTTGCACTCACTTTTATTTAAAAACTTAAAAACGACGCGACGTACGCACTACGCACTGCTCGCTGTCCTCCGGTGAATGAATGATCGGCGATCGTGTGGGCACGCGCACGCAATTACAAGCGATTCCCTTAGATGTGTGACCGAAAAACCGACCCAGGCACCGATCGCCACGATCATGACGACGATCAACGACGATTGAGGACTATGATGGACAACAACAGGCGATTAGCCCCTCTACACGATCGTGCTCGCCCATCATGGCCGATCGTGAAGAGGAGCCATAAGGCTGCATCACCACTTACAAAAACAAGTTTTATTTTAATGTGTAGTACCTATTCGCGTAAATATAACATATCTATTTATTATAATTTGTATGTCAAGAGAAATATTTTACTTATCTACACTAAAAAAAAAAAAACTAAAAAAAAATTTTATTTTTATCTTCACTATTAATACAATATTAAAGTGACAAAGTGCAAAATCATATGGTTTTCGATAGATGGCGGTAAAATCGCATCAGACACAGGCAGACTAGCAGGATCAGAGGTGCAAATCGCAACACTTCTGGTCTCCCTCTTTAAAAGTCTTTAAGTGCTTCCTTCTCTGCAGCACGGGTATTAGCCCAATAACTGCCTAGTTGGTCTAGTGGTCGTAAACACAATTTTTGATCATGAGGTTCGATTCCCGAGTCAAGCCAAAAATCAATTATTGGGTTTTCCTGTCCAGAAAATCTTAGTATCAGCCCGGAGTCAGGAAGTTGGCGGTGTCTCACCCCCGTGCCTCGGAGAGCACGTAAAGCCGTTGGTCCTGCGCCTGATTTCTCTCTTATCATGTCGGATTACCGTTCCATCGGACTATGAGTGTGAGTGAATAGAGAGTACGCCTGTGCTTGCGCATACACTTGGGCACTATAATCCTGTCCTGCGCCGATTGCGAGCCTCCGTTAAGACGGGTCGCTTTGACCGAAATTCGGTCTGGAGCACTTTAGTACATTCCATTACCGTTATCGTTGCAGCCTATTAAAGTCCACTATTGAACATAGACCTCCCCCATAGAATGTCTCATAGGGGAGATATATGCCATAGTTGCCACCGCAATTTTTTATTTTTAGTCGTCATTAAGAAGACACTGCTGCCCATCTCCTGACCTGTTTCCCCTCTGTCACATCTACACCCACGGGATAATATAATATGGTTGTGGTATAATATTGTTGCGCAGCTAAGTTGACATCTCATCTCATAGCACTAACGCCATCTAGTGTCAAATTGAAAAACTAAACTTTCTAGAAGCTCTACACTCGATCTTTCCGCGCTTGGTCGGTTGGCGCGCGTATTTACTCGAATATTCTGGAATATTCTGGATGTTTTCATGGAAGAGCCCTATATAAAGGCGCTGCAATACGTGATCGAGGAAGTATTGAAGTTGGCGAGACAAGCGAAGCTTCGGAGCAGAATAAAGTGAATTAGTGTGCTTAATTATTAGTGTTTTAAGTTTTAATTTGTGAAAGAAAATTAAAGTGTTAATTTAGGTAATTTTATCGGCAATTTTTATTGTCACGAACCTCAAGCTCGTAACAATATTACGACGCTACATAGCACACATTACTCGGTACACAATACATATTAGTATCGTCACATCAGGCTTATACCTGATAGAGCCATGCTGTAACTTTATAGTTGCAGCACTAATGGGCCGACTCGAACGGGGAAGGACCCCGCTCTCACAAAATACCAGCGTAAAATAGCAGCTTAATGCTGCTGTATTTCGTGTGGAGTACCGGAGATCCTTTTTACTAGAAAGGAGGTATTCCACATATGGTCCACATATAGTTATATATACAGTTACACATATAGTCCTCATAGGATTCACATCTTGGAGACACATCTGCATTTTGATTATTAACCGACGATAAATGTAGATATCTATGGACCACATCATCAACTTATCATCAGGGGAACTGTGTCTTTGTTTATCAACTTTATTCTATAAATGACTGTGTGCTCGTTTGTAACCCTCACCTGTATATAAAAATTATCACAATCTACCTGTGTTTTGTCACTGGGCTTTGTTATTGAGGGAATTTCGTGACTTCATTGTTCCACTACTTTACAAATTTCTGTTCTATTCCATATTAACTTTAAAAATTACTGTGAAACGTCCATTAGTGTGATGGTGATTGAATCAATATATTATATTGAATTGATGGCTATTCATATATATATTTATAATTCTATACGTGTGTTTATTACCGTGTTACGTAACTGCTCCTAGACGGTTGGTCGAATCTAACTTAACGATTCATTTTATCAAATATTTCACTTCATTCTTTACTAGCGCCGCCCTGGTGACATAAAAAGTAGGTGCCGTCATTAATGCACTACGACTTTACCACGTAACGATATTAAAATATAAAAAATTAAGAGAACCCTATGGGCTTTTTTTTATAGGATATGATGACAAGCGAGCACACAGTCCACCTGATGGTGAGTGGTTGCTGTGGCCCGTAGACATCTACATCTATCCTCGATTACGAATCAAAGGGCTTTTCTTACATTCAAATCCAAACTGAGTTTTGTTTTTGTACATATATTAATCACGACTGGACTCAAACTCAGGACCCGAGATTTAATCGGGTAACTATGTTTGCACGTTGATTCTTTTCAGCTATAACAACTTCTTTCAGGTGCACTCTTCGGTGGAATGGCTGGAGGGGCTGCCATGAGGCACGGGCGTCGCAGGGTGCTGTCTCTGGCGGCAGCACCCTGCAGCGTCTCCTGGCTCCTGACAACGGTGGCGACTTCTGTCAGGATGATGTGCATAACAGCGTTCCTCGGCGGCTTCTGCTGTTCTATCCTCACTATGTTGTCACAGGTATGTATGTCGAATGTAACTTATGTGTAGAATCGAATCATCGAAATTAGATGAATGATTATATTATAATAATGCCCCCCACTAGATAACGTGACGACCTGGTTAGACATGCAGGAATTCGATGGATGCAGGTGGCTCAGGACCGTGCTTTGTGGCATTCCCTGGGGGAGGCCGATGTTTAGCAGTGGACTTGTAATGATACGGAAACTTATTGATACGGAAAATTATATTCATTAATTCATTCATTTACTATATAGTTTCTGGGTCTATTATTATTATTATTATTTTAAAATTTCAATATTTTTTTTAAGTTTCAGTGATCAGATTATCATTGAGGCGGGATCCTATTTGACATCGCACAACTGCATAATTAACAATTTGTAATTTGTACGAATTTCTGTGTTAATGTTGTGTGTTTGTCAAATAAATTTTCCTTTCTTTCTTTCTTATTACAGCCTACGTGCAATCTTGATCATAGACTCTATAGATTACTTCCATAGTTACCCCGCTTGGTAGTCAGATCGGCAAACACTTTTTATATAAAAAAGCGCCATCTTTCTGAAAAACACCCAAAATAATATTATTTGGAGTGTTTTTCAGAAAGATGTCTCAGACATGCAGGTTTTATCATTGTGTTTTCCTTCACCACCGAACACGTGGTAAATGAGCACTTAAAATTGTAATTAACAATTTAATTTTCATTAGCGCCGCGGATCGAACCAGGGTTGCTCGCGTACTGTAAAATTTACTATGAGTACTTAGCCCCTAAACAGCCACGGAAAGGTTGCTAAAAGTTGAGTGCCTAAAGTTGCCGGCACGAAAAGTGAGCACAGATGAACTATGGTGGGGGTTGAGCCAGCGTACGTACACTGTCGGCCAAAATTATTAGGTACTGTTGTTATTTCAATTCATAATTGAATATTTTCGCAGACTTTTTTTCGAAATTCTGAGTCGTTAACTCCTTTAACTATACGACGTACAGTAGCCACGTAGATATTAGTCGCCTTAGCAGTCTGTTTATAAACGTCTATCACGTTTTTCGCAATACCTAATAATTTCAGGTAACAAAGCACTGAATAGACCATTTGTCGGGATTGTCTATTTAACACCGAATTCTTTCTTCTCTGCATATTTAGCCCAAAATCCAAATGCACAAATTATAACAAAAAAAAATTAACAACAAGAAATATCAAAAACAGTTAAAAACAAGAAATACACAAAGAACAATTAACAACGAGGTAACACTACAATTAACAAAAATAAACTAATTAAAAAGTTGTCAATAAAATTGCTCTCAAGTGTACGGTAGTCGAATGATACGTGCGAACCCAATAGCCGACGAGAATCGGCTGAAGAACCAATCACGTTGAGCGTCAGCGTGGTCAACGTCATATCGACCAATAAAAAGTGTGCTCACGATTCGTGACGGCAATTATACACATATTTGTTTTGAGTAGATCATATTTATTATGTAGGTATTTTCTTTGCGGATTGTTAACGCAGTGTATTATTTTTTGTCGTTATTAAAAAGATGCTGCTGCCTATCTGATGTCTTTGCCTTTCGACCCATCGGATTATGAGAGTGCACTTGTGCTTGCGCATACACTTGGGCACTATAATCCTGTCTCCGCCGATGGCTAGTCTTCGTTGAGGCTGGCCGCTGTTTTCGAAATTCGGTCTGGAGAACATTATTATTTTTATTATTTTCTTATATGTAAGCTAAGGGTTGTGGCCGCTTTCAGAACATACTATAGACAAAATGTTTTTAACTAAAAGTTCTAAGTAAGATACACTTAGATTTAGAAAAAACTTTATAGTCTTAATAAAGGCACTATTAATAAATTATTATAAAAGATTAAAAAGTAAATGTAAAATATAATTAAACAATTAATTATCTGTGCACTATTTTATTATTATAATAAACTGATCACAGCAATAAATATGATTGACAGTTTGTTACCTTTGATTGTCAATTCTCCAAATTTAACGTCTATTGAAATCCGAGGGAAGGCTCTTTCAATTTGATATTTTAAATGAAAAGAAACCCAATTAGGGCATGAACAATGAAAACAAATTCGCTTTAAATAAACGTTATCAGTAATTACAAAATTCGTAATAAAACGTTCAGTTGTAATTTATGTATTACGGCCATTTTCATTGATGGCGTTAGGGTGACCATTGTTATTTTGGGCTCCGGACTATGTATAGCAATAGTACGTGCGTGTCAATATACGGACCGTTTTTTTTGTAATTGATGTGGCAAACGAACTCACAGTCCACCAGATAAGTGATTACTGCAGCTCTTAGACATCTGCAATCGACTTCAAAGAAAGAAGGCGAAAGATGCATTGTCAACTCTGAGAAATGAGATGCAACGTCCCTCAACCTGTAATAATAATGGTTTTCTGTAAAATAATCATATAAAATAATTAAATAAATAAAACGAGCTAAAATGTTTTTGTTATTAAACATAACATGTATTTTGATAAAATAAATAAAATAGATAAGTTCATATCCAAATTTCCAAATACACGGAAAAAATTACATTGAAGTGGACAGATTTGGTGATTTTATAATATTGTTTTTTAATATTTAAATTGAAATATTTTAGGCTTCTTATTACACTAAAAGACTATATAAGTATTCCATTATAATAACGCTTAAAGCAAAGTATTTTAGCGTATAATAATAGTTATATTCGACCTGAAAGATAACTGAAGCATATTTTCGTAAAACGCTATGAAGGGTTTGTCTTCGCTCTAAAAAAAATGTCAATAAAAACTATGATTTTCCATTGCAGTGCACTAAATAAAGACTTTATCGTTCTAATACCGTAATTTTCTGCAAATGATCTGCTACAACGTTACGATATCACCCATGAAAAAACCCTAAAACATGAAGTTTTCGACGGAAATCGCATATTACGCTCTTAAGACCAGCACATAATATATTGCTGTTTGGCATATATAATAAGTAACAGGGCTTTAACTACCCAGATGGATTTCTATTCAGAAAAAGTCCTAACACCTAGTGAAGCACTGAAGCACGTTTTTAGATTCTCTTACCGTAAGTTGTCGGAGCCGATATTTTTCGAAATGCAAAGACCTATTACACTTTTCGGGTTATTTTTTAAACGTAGGTGACAAACGAGTACACTTTTTGATACGTGATAGAGCCATGTTACAGATATATTTTGTTGTGGCACGCCAGGGTAGGACCAGGCTCTCACAGAATAAAAAAGCAGCAGCACAAGTAAACAAGCAGCTTAATGCTGCTGTGTTTCGTATGGTGAATGTACAGAACCGGAGACCCTTATTACTGGAAACGAGGCATTCCATCTTAGTCCTCAGGGGTGACAACGCATCTCCGTTTTGATCCTTAATCGAGGATAGATGTAGATGTCTGTGGGTCACAGCATCCACTTACCATCAGGTGGACTGTGTGCTCGTTTGTCACCCTATCCTATAAAAAAACGTACAGCAAAGGAGTGGAATAAGTTGCCAGCATCTATCTTTCCATCCGATTACAGTGTGGGTGTCTTCAAGGAAAGAGTGAATAGGTTTTTGTTAAGTCAGTGCGCTTCACCATCTTAGGCTACATTACCACTTACCGTCAGGTGAGATTGTAGTGAAACGCAGGCTTAGAATAATAAAAAAATATATAACAAAAGCACACTAGAAAAGAAGTCTTTTAACAACACCTAAACATAATGATACTAGGGTCAAAAAATTGAACCGAAAAGGTCTGTATCGTCTTGCCTGAATAATTGCAAATACTGTTAGTCCTAACTGTATCGTAACGGTGCGAGAATATTCAATACCCCAAATTCGCCCCGTGAATGTCCTAGAAGGTAAATCGCCAGCAAGGTCCAGGCCAAATAATTAAAGTCACAGCATCCACTTATCATCAGGTGGACTGTGTGCTCGTTTGTCACCCTATCCTATTTTATTTTTATTTTTATAGGATAGGGAGACCAACGAGCACACAGTCCACCTGATGGTAAGTGGTTGCTGCGGCCCATAGACATCTACATCTATCCTCGATTACAAATCAAAATGCAGATGCGTTGTCACCCCTGAGGACGAAGATGGAATGCCTCGTTTGTAGTAAAAAGGGTCTCCGGTTCTCTACACTCACCATACGAAACACAGCACCATTATGCTACTATTTCACGCTGATATTCTGTGAGAGCGTGATCCTTCCCCGGTCGAGCCGACCATTCGTGCTACAACTATACTACTAATATAACTACAGCATGGCTCTACCACGTATAAAATATGATACTCGTACGTGTGATGAACGTTTGTTCGAATGCGTGTTAAGTCAACAACGAAAGGGTGGAGACAGATTGTAATTAGATTATGCAATTCAATTTAAGTGACCACCGCCGCCCATGAACCTCTGCAACACCAAAGGGATTGCAGGTGCGAACTTACGCAACTTATGAGAAATCTTAGTACAATTTTATAAGCGGTTATCTGAAATAATTTTCTAAATCTATACAACATTATTTTCATTTGCTTTGTCATAGGTCAGGATGGCCGAGCGGTCTAAGGCGCCAGACTCAAGGTTTCCTTGCCCACCAATGTGGGTTCGGGCGTTCTGGTCCTCTCTGAGGGCGTGGGTTCGAATCCCACTTCTGACATAACTTTTTATGTTTTTTTACTAATATTATTTAAGAAAAATTTTTCTTTTTAGATATAATTCAAAATTAAGAATTTTTAGATAAATTCCTATTTAATTTTTATATTTGTATAACATAGACTGTGGTTTTGTAACTACAAAAATTTCACTACAATTACACAATTTACGCTACAATTAATACACTAATACGTCCCATATCTGGACACGAGCCTCATTTATGTCTAAGAGGATTTTTGGTGCAGATAAGAGCCCGCAGAACCGCACTCGAAACATGGAGGTTCCTTCAAGATGATTTCCTTCACTGGCTTTTTTTTCTCCTTATTTGGATCACCAACAGATGATACACAATACTAACT